TGTGCTCAACTGAGTTGAAGTAATTCATCCTGGACTGAGACGCGATAGCATCAAATGGGATTGACTCTCAGGAGGGACCATTTTCTTACCAATTCAGGAGGTTGCCCCTTTGTGTTCTCTCTTAACTTTCAGATGACATCATTTGCATCAACTTCTCTTACTGCACTAAATCATCCACTTAGAGTAATTGTCAGGAATAGTTCATCAGCTGTAAGGATCACATGTCGCTTCCTGAGAAGCTGGAAATAATGTGAACTCCTCTGTTGTTAATTTTTTTGGCCTACACCAAATCTCATTACTGAATCAATTGAGTTTGTTGAGAGTTTAACATTAACTTTAATGCTAATTCTTTGTCCTGTTAATAGTCAAGCCAATACAGGCACCTGCTGTCTCTGTTAAGCTAATGAGACAGGGAAAAAGATGGGAAGGATGGCAGGTGAGGCTAGTTCTTCATCCCGAGTCTCTGGGTTGCCCAGGCAACTTTCCTGTAACTGTAAATGGCAGTATTTTGCTTTTCAATGTTTCTTTCGTCTATACTGTGTTAGCAGACTGCCATTCCCACAGGAATGGCCCCTCTACTTTGTCTTTCAAAGAGTGTGCAGGATGAACTCGAGCAAACAGTCTTACGGCAATTCCAGGCATAGCTACTCCATCAATTTCTATTGTTGATTCAATCTCTTTTTGAAAAAGTTGTGCGGAGTTGGAAACACAACTATGTGTGTTGCACAAAGCAACAAATGGTTATAGTGCCTGAGAAAAGGGAAGGCGCAGGTTACAAGACGCATTTAAAGAACTTGTGGGGGTGGGGAAGGAGGGGGCGCTTCTGAAACTCCTCTAGCTGAGAAATGCTAAGCTAATGAGTCCATAAAGAAATGAAAAAAGGGTTTGTAAAAATTGTAGCACTATGAATTCAAACAAATATTATTATGCCTAAGTTTGCCTCATCAGGTGAATTATTACTCTCAAGTCAAAGGACAGGGAAATAATATATAACCAACCAAACAGATTTTTTTTTTAAGTTGATAGCTTAGAATACAGGACATCTGTGGAAGCAGAGTGAGACACTGCACCTTACTTATAGGAATCCAGGAGAAAAATAACATTCATCCGCCAATGTGGGCTTGTTGCTGGTATGTTTTTTAAACAGCCCAACTGTTTTAAGGAACAGTTTTATGGAACATAATGAATTAAGTTTAGGGGTCAAATTATTTCTCTCCTAATCTCTCTCTCTCTCTCTCTCTCTCTCTCTCTGTGTGTGTGTGTGTGTGTGTGTGTGTGTGTGTGTGTAAATTATTCATTCTCTGAGCCTCAGTGTACTCCTCTGAAAAGTGGGGGTGATTTAAAGAGAAAAAGCTGTGGAGTACTGAGCCTAGAGCCTGGCGCTTCCTAGCCACTACATTCATTGGTATAATGTTAGGAAACTTGCCTGCAAAGACCATGTCCTTTCTGCTTCTTCGGTTCACCAGCTGAAGCACAACACACACCATTCCTGCTTCCTTTGTTTCCTTCGGGTGGCGCTTCCTAGATCTTTGCCTCCCTTGCTTTTTGTTGCTGGCCAGGCACAAAGCCTGCCAGCTCTGGGTGGTGCAGACTTGGTTATTTTCCAGGCTCTTTTGAGGATTCCCCAGGAGGACTATGTCAGAGGTGCTAATGAGTCTCTGTTTAAACGTCCCTCGCAATTGGGACAGAGAGAAACACCTTGCACAACAATTAGCTTTTCACAGCCATTAGCAATTTGCAGTCATTAGCGCCATAGAAACACTGCAAATAACACCCAGGAAACAAATACCACTGTAAGGTGCCACAGGGCTTCTATGCTGGATCAGCCCTCAGCAAGGCAGGGGTCTGAGAGTCTAAGGTCCCCTGTGCCCACTTACTCCAGCAAATGGGTTTTGTGATTTGAAGTGCCTCTGCTCTTTCCCATATCTTTGAAAATGGCTCTATCAAGCCCATTATTTGTTTCAGTGAAACATAAATCTTTCATAAGAAAAGTCCAGAAGATGTAGTGCATAATAAAGCAATTCTGAATTCCTTCAAGACCAAAAAGCCTAAAGGAGTCTGGAAGGAGTGGTGTGAATAATTGAAATTTGAGAGGAGTGAAACCCCAATGCAATGCAATAATTTAGCTCCAAAGCTCTTCATGGCAGCATTGCTAAATACCAGAACCATCTATATCTGTAACGGTAGGGATTGGTTAAATAATTGTGCTGTACCCATTGAATTGAACATAATACAGACTTTAGAAATAATATTCTGGAATTTACAGGCAGATTATATCAAAAAGATTATAAAACCTTATTAATATTTCCTTTTTATTGTAAAATATGATATGCACCTTCTAAAATATTAGTGATGATTGTCTCTGGGTGCTGGAAATGGGAATAGATGATTTTGAAATTTTTAATTTTGCTGTTCTATGTTATTTTTCTAAAACAAGTATAGATGTATGTGTAATCCTTTTAATTAGAGAGAAGAATAAAGACAGCAGAGTGAGAAAGTAAGCCACATATGGTATAGCGAGTTTAACATACCTAAAAAAAAATTAAGTAAATATTTTATTAAAGTACAACATATATGCGGAAACAAGACACCAATAATAAGGATGGTTTGATGACTTTTCATGTAGCGCATAAATCCAGATACAGAATAAGTCTTATATACCATAATGGTTATGCTTGTAGCTCCACAAACAAGCATCTGCATGGCAAACAATTACAGTAGGAGGTCAGCTGCGGGTGGGAGAGTTAGTGATGCAAGTTCATCAGTTGAAAGCCCGTGATGGTAATTGTGTTAGTCTGTTTTCACACTGCTACAAAGAAATACCCCAGAATGAGTAATTTAGAAAGGAAAGAGGTTTAAGTGACTCACAGTCCGCACGGCTGAAGAGGTCTCAGGAAACTTATAATCATGAGGGAGCAGCAGGCATGTCTTACATGGTGGCAGAAGAGAGAAGAGAGAGCGTGTGAAGGAGAAACGGTCAAATACTTATTAAAGCATCAGCTCTCGTGAGAACTCACTATCACGAGAACAGCATGGAAAAAACTGCCCCCAGGATCCAGTCACCTCCCACCAGGACTCTCCCTCGACATGTGGGGACTACTGGGATTAATATTCGAGATGAAATTTGGGTGGGGACACAGAGCCAAATCATTTTTGTAATTCTGGAAGGAAAGTTGGTAAATCTCCATTTTACTGGTGCAGAAGCTGAGCCACTGGGAGGAAGAGTAACTTGAATCCCATAACTACTAAATGGAGGAGATGAGATTTATTCCCAGTCAGCCTCTGGAATCAATGCATTTCCAAGAAGAAAAAATACAGCTGGGGCAGCTAGCAGAAGACCAGGGCAACTCTAAAAGCTTGATGACCAGAGAGTAGGAGACAGGAAAGAGCTGTCAGGGAGGGCAGGAAGGCTTGTCTGTTAGAAAGGAAGGGCAGAAAATCAGTTCATGGTAATTTCTACAAAAATCAGACCAGTGGGGAAACTAATAATGCTAAGTCTGATGCCTTTGTGCACTTATAGTTCATGCAGACCCAAAAGGTGGCCTTGAGGCTGATGAACCAGGCATGCAGAGCATAAGAGCTCTGACTTCCTTCAGCAGTCATGGTTAGCTCAGATGAATGGGGTCTAATTTATTTTTTATTTTATTCTTTTTTGGGGGGTTGGGGAGACAGAGTCTTGCTCTGTCACCCAGGCTGGAGTGGAATGGCACAATCTCAGCTCACAGCAACCCCTGCCTCCCAGACTCAAGTGATTCTTGTGCCTCAGCCTTCCAAGTACCTGGGACGACAGGTGTGTGCCACCATACCTGGCTAATTTTTGTGTTTTAGAAGAGATGGGGATTTGCCATGTTGGCCACGCTGGCCTGGAACTCCTGATCTCAAGTGATCTGTCCACCTCGGCTTCCCAAAGTGCTAGGATTACAGGCATGAGCCACCGTGCCCAGCCAGAAAGAGGTTTAATTTATATTTTCTTCATATTTACCAATTCATAGGGGAGCATGGCACTACTCATAATCCTCCTACGTAGAAAAGTGGACCCCCAAATCTCCACTGAATGATCAAACTTCTTTTCCCTTGAAACAGGTGTTCTGGGGGAACCATGCAGATAGCACACTCTTGGAAAGGGGTGCCTCTGGAGAACATAGGGTACATGTTAAGGACCTTGGGCGATGAGAGCAGAAATCCACCTTCCAAAATGAACTCAGCTGGGGAGGATCAATCTTGGGAAGTTTTTATGGAAACCATTTCATCAAAGATATCTATCTAGGAATTTTGCTTTCTTAATTAACTCAGTGGTAGCACCATGCTATGCTAAAAGGACTGGTTGTGAGACTTGTAAATACCCCTCTTTGGCCATTAACCCTGTTGGGTTGCTGAAAGCTTTTCAAGTATTGAGGCCACGTGGTTGGTCATCTCTACATGCCCAATGCATAATAATGTGCCTGGTAGATAAGAGACGTTAAACAAATGCTTAACGAATGCATAATATGTGTCTTGGATATTCTAGGCCAATATCGCTTTAAATAGTCCACTGATTATGTACACTGGTTTGCATTCAGAAACATTGATCATCAGATAGTTAGGTCTGAATGTGGCTGATGGAATTTCTGGGAATTTTCAAGAGATATTTCTCAGCAGTAGCCACTATACCAGCCAGTTTTCATAGTCCTTCTCAATCATTCATTCATTTTAGTAAAGGTAGAATTAGACAGAAGTGAGGAATACTCCAAAAGTGAAGGAAGCAAGAATTTTATAGAACCTGAAACTGGTTCCTGGGCTTCATATTTCAGCAACTTCAGAAATTTTTTTAAGACACTTAAGATGTTTTTAAACAGTCATTTACTGAAGTCTTACTAAGTAACAGGCTTATACTCAGTGTTAAGAATACAAAAAATCAGTAATATAGAACACACAGACCTGAAAATAGATAAATTACAACCCAAGTCGGATCGTGTTTGTATTATGTAAGATGTCTTCGGTCACAAGTAACAGAAAAGAAATAGCAGCTAAAACAATAGCAATTTTTGATAATCTCACAAATCATGAAAGACTGAAAGCAGGTGGTTCCAGATTGGTCCAGCAGTTGAATGATATCATCAAAAACCCAATACTCTGTCTTTTCACTATTCTATCCTTTGTCCTTGGTTTATTGCCTCACCGTCAGGAAATGATTGCTGTAGCTCCAAGTAACATGTTTGCACACAATTGCATTTAAGTCAGGCAGGAAGAAACTTACTGCTTCTCTTCATAGCAGGAAACAAAAATCTTCTGAGATGAGCTGACCAATAGACTGTTTCTTTGGTCTCATTGGTCAGGACTGGGTCACTTGCCCATTCCCAGATAAATCATGAGAAAAGGGAAATGGGATTGCTATGGTTGATATAAGCCAATGATGCTTCATTCTCTCAGGCTGGAGGAAGGGCTGCATCTTCCTTAAGCGTGTTGCTACCACCTAAAAAACTGGATCCTATAACCTAAAGAAGGTGAAAAGAAGTGCAGAGGAGAAGTTAAGCAACGTGTTTGCCACAGGATTAAGCACAGAGTTGAGTGAATCGATGTACCTTATTTTTTCTAATTTGATGCCACATCTTTAGCTCCGCCTTCCTTCCCTAGCATAAGGCCAACAGCCCAAGGCTACTAGAAAACCTGGCCTTTCCCTGACACTGCGTTGGCCTTGATTGCCTCAGTGCAGAAAGTAAAACAAGCTGTCAGACTCAGCTCCTGCCCTATCCTTGGTCTCTAATAACCTCAAGCTTTCACAATTCCAACCAAGTTTAAAATTCTAGCTTGTTGAATTGAGTGGGAGTTTGGAATGCTGGAGGGGGAGGGTGAAAGTCAGGTCAACAAAAGAGAAGTGATTTTTCTTCCTCAAATACAAGCCTCACATCAGGACTCTGAACTCAAATGGCCTCTCCTGAATGAGAGGGAGGGGGACACATGTAGGGAAGGCCAGGAGAGCCCAGCCATGGGTGTAGCTGAACGTTGTTTCAGATTGAAAACAACATTTCTCTCCCTGAAGACCACTGGGTACTACTTTCAGGATTTACATAAGAGAGAAGTAAGGGGCGGCCTCAATCTGGGGAAGAAAGTTAAGGAGGTGATTGGAAGAGAACTCTGAAGGATGTGACTTTATTCAACACATCCGTAGACATTGGTTTCACAAGGCCACAATCAATATAATAGATGATAGGATTGATACAATTCAATATGATTTAATGTAGTATAATAGTATAGCAGTACAATATAATGATACCAGTAACTAAAACTCATTGATCACTTGCTGTGTGATTAACATAATGCAAAGTATTGTCCTTACAGGATTACTTATAATCATATTCACAGGCAAGTTCCATTATAACCCAGAGGCTAAGCAACTTGTGCAAAGCCACTCTGTTAAACAATGGACTCAGGACCGCGGGGCTGTTTGCCTCTGGAACCCTCCTCTTCAGCACTTTGCTATTTTGCCTCCATTTGTCTCTTTCCTACCAGGGCGTTAATGCATACAGTGATGAAAGTGTAGGCCAAGTGGTGACTACAGACGAAGACACTGAGCGAGATTTAGTTAAAAATAGCTCACCGGAATAGATATTTTGAAAGCTAAAAAAAAAAAAAAAAAAAAAAAATGAAAGAAATAACACCAAAAAGTTATTTTAAATGCTCAGGGCACAAAATAGTTAAGTTTCTTGTTTTAAAGAGCTCAAGAAAGTAAAGAACATAAGAGGAAACACAGCACTGATAGGAATTATATAAACAGATGAACTTCTTTCTCCATAATAAAATTCATGAACATTCATGTATGCATTATCAAGATTTTGCCATTCCCTTGTTTTTTTTTTTTTTTTTTTGCATTCATTCTCTAGCTTATATAGTTAACTCTTTTTCTAACTAACTCACTTACTTTATTCTTTCATTCATTCATTTATCTAGTCATCTGTCAGATGTTTATTCAGTCTTTTCCATGCACTGGGTACCAAGGAGGGTAATGGAGGATTAAGAATAAAGAAATACTGTCTCCTGCCGTATGTGTCATGGAATTTAGTATGCTCAAAAGGCAATTTTCCCCTTCGGATCCCCTTCAGACTCACTCCATTGCCTGTGAATGGTCCTGTGCAATAGAGAGACCTCTTTCAGCCCTCTGGCATGTGGCATTGCCCTACTGCAGGGAGTTGCCTATCTCTGATTTAGGACTAGAAGTGGAGGTCCCGAAGATGAGAAACTGTGAAGAACAGAGGACACTAGATATGTTACTGTCTGTCTGATTGAAGCAAATTCTAGCTCAGGAACCCCCTGGGAGGTTCTAAGACTTCAATATCTTATGGGATTTTGGAAACATCTAAGTTTTCTGCAACTGATAAAACCATCCGGGTCCCTTAAGTTTTCCCTTCCACCCACTGGGAGGCACTAAACTAAGGATAGGGTAGATGCCTGGGGAAATATTTATTTCCAACCCCACTCAAGAGCTAATCTCTGCTACTGGATGCCTGAAACCATATGCCTGATTCCAGCCTTTGGCTTGACTGAAGGATCGTAATGAACCTTTCCAGCACATTTCTCTGTATACTGGAGAACCAGTGATGAGCATTATTATTGAAACATCTCTAAAATTGCCCGTACTTTTTTTCTGTCTGACATCTCCTTTTGTTTGGTTTTCTTTTTAATTTTATTTTGCTAAAATTAATAGTGAGATAGGTTTACATTCTCACAAAATATAATACAGGCAATGAAGAGATAGTCTAGGAGCCTTTCTTAAGGCCCCTATTACACACAGCCTCCAGGTACTGGGACCCCTTAGACCATCTCGTTTTTAGGAGGTGTTCCCAATCACTTACAATGGCCTTTGTCAAAATTGCTCCCTATAGTGACAGCCGATGTCCTAAGCAGATGTCTATGTCTGAAGCAACTGGTCCTTGTAAGGGGTATCCAATTATCATGAGGCTCCAGGAAGACACATATGGATGTGATGAGAAGGATGATGGAATGGGACCCAGAAGACACCCCACAGCCACTATCACCATTTGTTCTGCCCATTTCTATGCCCATATTTCCTCCTCTGCAAAATAAATAGTTCAGACTAGAAGAGGTCTCAGGCCCTATCTACCTTGGACAAGTTATGACCTTCTGAGTACTGTAAGTGTTATCTGCTTTGGCAGTTTGCACTAAGAATTGGACTTCAGTTTTTGTGCTCAGTTTTTGTGGCATGTGTCTACAAAGCACAAAAGCCTTGGGTTCTCTGGACTTCGGAAGTGGAAGAGTTAGACAGCAATCCCAGCCCAGTCTCAGGGAGAGACACAGAAGCAACTCTGTGAAAGGGTACTTCAGTCTCTATGAGAGCCAGTCTGTGCCCTGGCAGAGAAGATGACTTGGGGAAGGAAGGCACATCCAAGAGCTCTAAAGCCTGGGCAGAATGCCCCATGGACCCACAATCCCACATACCTGCAAATGGAGAGAAGAGGACAGGTAGTCACAGTGTGAATATTTGGTATCCAGAGTCTTATTTGACCTTAAAAATTTGGAGGTATGTGGGACCTGGAAATGCTAATACCCAGAGGCCGTGCAGTGTAGTGGAAAGAGAACTGGCTTTGGAATCAGAAATTCTGGTTTGACTCTCACCTGTGCCCTTACTAGCTACGTGACTTGGAGCAGGTCTCCTAACCTTGCTGAGTGTGGGTTTTCTTGTCTGTCCAACGAGGAGCATTAGGTCATTCCTGATGATCTCATAGGGCTGATCTTTCTTGGTTACTTTTCCTGCACACAGTGTACAAACCCCCGTGATGCCTTAGTCACAGTCTAACAACAATATTAAGGAAGGACAATGAAAAAGATAATTTTTGTGGCGAATACAACATTGATCATTATTGCTACTCACTGTTACATTCTTAATACGTACCAGGCACTCTGCTAAGGACTCCAGAAACATTAATTAATCACCCGAGGTCACATGGCTGGTAAATCACATGGCAGGACTTAACTCTGAAAGCTCTGACTCCAGAACCAAGGTCTTCACTCAGTGCTTGCTTCATTCCTCCTGACCCAACAACCAGGTTTCTTCCAGACCTGGCTCACAGAGAGTGAGAAAGATGTACTGGCTTGTCTATTCACATATTAACAAACAAACAAACAAACAATTAAGTGATCAGTCACATTCATTAAAAGAGTCAAACACAGCATCTTTGAAAAATCATATGTTAAAAGACATTTATGGATCAGATTAAATAAATAAATGTATGAAAAAATGTGATTATATTTTCACTAACAGTTAACCAACTTTGCTAATTGCCTATGTACGACTTTTTCTTAGGCTTCTAACAAATTATTTGTCCCACCCATCCACCCAGCTAAAAAACAAAGTACTGAACGCCTTCTCTGTGCCAAATACCCATGAAGTGCTCAGATTTAATGGTGATGGAGGTGTTTCTACCCTCAAGCATCAGTCTAACAGAAGATACTGACAGAAAAACAATTAAGTAGAGTATGAAAGGGCTTTGATAGGGGCATAAACAGGGTACTAAGGACAGACAGAAAATAAGAAGTTAAGTCAGTCTGAATATGCCAGAGAAACTTTCTCAGAAAAGGTGACAGCTAGGTTGAGTGGCAGTCAAACTGTTGGAAGGAAGGGACGTGGACAGGAGAGAAGGGGAAGGACTTTTGGGAAGCAGAAGTGTCTTATGCGATGGATAAAGAGGCAAGAGAAGTGTGACTCACCCAGGGAGCCACAAGAAGTTCACTGTGGCTGAAACGGAGGGACTAAGGACTGGAGAGGTGACAGCTGAAATGGAGGCCATATTGGGCAGGGCCATATATGTACTGCAAAGGAGTTTGAACTTTATTGTAATCACACCGAGAATTAATTGAAGGGTTCAAGTCAGGGCCTAAGGAATGGGTCAGAATCCCATTTGTGTGTTATGAAGATGATTCTGGCCACAGCATGGAGAATGGATCTGTGAGGGAAAAGGGGGTGGCTAAGAGAACACAGGACTACTTCAGCTAGCAGATGAAGATGACCACCCAGGTGGCGTCAGTGAGAATGGAGAGAAGTAGATATTGCTTGAACATTGAGCAGAATGAGGCAGGTTTAGCAACTGAATGAAGGTAGAGTGAGGGAGGGCACAGTCTGAAGGATGTTGTGTCCACTGGTCCCCTCAGTCCCTGAGTAAAAGGATTGATTTGTTTTGTTCCAGGTTCTCTTCTGGTTCAGATGACATGGCTCTGTGTCCCCCAATTTTTGATCCATCAACTCATACTTTTTGCCCCATATTTCCTTCCATTTCCCAGTACAATAACTAGGGCAATGGGAACTGCTGTATCAAAGCCAAAACTTTCAGTGGTTTGACACAATAAAAGCATATTTCTTGATCATGTAAGAGTCTTTTCTGGTCAGTGAGTAGCTTTCTTTCAGTTTAGAAAGGATGCTTCCTTCTATTGCATGGTTTGCCATTTCCTAGGGCCTGAGTTCTCAGCATTTAGATGGTAGAGGGGCAAGGGTGGAGAAAGTATCCTTTTTACTTAAAAACCCACCTACACCTCCATTAATAAGAACTTCTCACATGGCCATATTTAAAGGAACAGTTACATTCCTACATACTCACATGAGGGAGGGAGCAGGAAATTTTGCTAAACACCCAACCACCCAGCATCCGTAGGTTTTAGTGGTGAGAGTGGGCATCCCTGTTTGGTGCCAGTTCTCAGGGGGTATGCTTTCAACTTTTCCCCATTCAGTATTATGTTGGCTGTGTGTTTGTCATAGATGGCTTTTATGGCATTACGGTATGTCCCTTCTATGCTGATTTTGCTGAGAGTTTTAATTATAAAGAGATGCTGGATTTTGTCAAATGCTTTTTCTGCATCTATTGAGATGATCATGTGATTTTTGGTTTTAAAGCTGTTTACGTAGTGTATCGCATTTATTAACTTGCATATGTTAAAGCATCCCTGGTATGAAACCCACTTGATCATATTTTTTTGATATGCTGTTGGATTTGGTTAGCTAGTATTTTGTTAAGAATTTTTTCATCTCTATTTGTCAGGGATATTGGTCTGTAGTTTTCTTTTTTTCTATCTCCTTTCTTGGTTTTGGTATTAGAGTGACACTGCTTTCACAGAGTGATATGGGTTTCATAGAATGATTTAGGGAGGGTTCTCTTCTATCCTGTGGAATAGTGTCAATAGGAATGTCTGACAGAATTCAGCAGTGAATTCTTCTTGTCCTAGACTTTTTTTGTTGGCAATTTTCTTATTACCATTTCAATTTTGCTGCTTGTTATTCGTCTGTTCAGCATTTCTATTTCTTCCTGGCTTAATCTAGAAGGTTTGTATATTTCCAAGAATTTATCCATCTTCTCTAGGTTTTTGAGTTTATAGGTACAAAGGTGTTCATAGCAGCCTTGACTAATCTTTTGTATTTCTGTGGTATCAGTTGTAATATCTCCCATTTCATTTCTAATTGAGCTTATTAGGGTCTTCGCTCTTCTTTACTTAGTTAATTTCGCTAATGGTCTATCAATTTTATTTATCTTTTCAAATAATCGGCTTTTTGTTTCATTTATCTTTTGTTTTCTTTTTTGTTTCAATTTTATTTAGTTCTGCTCTGATCTTTGTTATTTCTTTTCCTCTACTGGGTTTGAGTTGGGTTTGTTCTTGTTTCCCTAGTTCCTTGAGGTGCAACCTTAGATTGTCTACATGTGCTCTTTCAGACTTTCTCATGTAGGCACTTAAGCCTATGAACTTTCCTTTTAGCACCTCCTTAGCTGTATCCCAGAGGTTTTGATCGGTTGTATCACTATTATTGTTCAGTAAAATTTTTTTAAATTTTCATCTTGATTTCATTTTTGACCCAATGGCTATTCAGGAGTAGGTTATTTAATTTCCACGTATTTGTGTAGTTTTGAGTGTTCCTTTAGGAATTGATTTCTAGTTTTATTTCACTGTCGTCTGAGGGAGTACTTGATACAATTTCAATTTTTAAAAAGTTATTGAAACTTGTTTTGTGGCCTATCATATGGTGTATCTTGGACAGTGTTCGAGAGTGTTCCATGTGCTGATAAAAAGAATGTATATTCTGCATTTGTTGGGTAGAATGTTCTGTAAATATCTATTAAGTTCCTTTGTTCTAGGGTATAGTTTAAATCCATTGTTTCTTTGTTGACTTTCTCTCTTGATGACCTGTCTTGTGCTAACAGTGGAGTATTAAAGTCCTCCACTGTTCTTGTGTTGCTATTTCCTTTCTTATGTCTCGTAGTAATTTCTTAAATAAAATTGGGAGCTCCAATATTGGGTGCATATATATTTAGGATTGTGATATTTTCCTGTTGGACATCATATAATGTCCCTCTTTGTCTTTTTCAACTGCTGTCACTTCAGGTCTCTTAGCCATGGATACCAGCACTTGCTCTGTTTTGTCTGATATAAGAATAGCCATTCCTGCTCCCTTTTGGCGTCCATTTGCACAGAATATCTTTTTCCACCCCTTTACTTTAAGTTTATGTGAGTCTTTGTGTGTTAGGTGAATCTCTGGAAGAAAGCAGATACTTGGTTGGTGAATTCTTATTCATTCTGCCATTCTGTATCTTTTAAGTGGAGGATTTAGACCGTTTACATTCAACATTATTAGTATTGAGACATGAAGCACTATTCTATTAATCATACTATTTGCTGCCTTAATACTTTGGGTTTTTAAAAATTTATTGTGTTATTGTTTTATAAGTCCTGTGAGATTTATGCCTTAAGGAGGCTCTATTTTGATGTATTTCAAGGATTTATTTCATGATTTAGAGCTCCTTTTAGCAGTTCTTTAGTGTTGGCTTGGTAGTGGCAAATACTCTCAGCAATTTTTGTCTGAAAAAGATTGTATCTTTCCTCTGGATACAAAATTCTTGGCTGATAATTGCTTTGTTTAAAGAGGCTGAAGATAGGGCCCCAGTCCCTTCTAGTTTGTAGGGTTTTGGCTGAGAAGTCTGCTATTAACCTGATAAGTTTTCCTTTATAGGCTACCTAGTGCTTTTGCCTCACAGCTCTTAAGATTCTTTCCTCATCTTGACTTTAGGTAACCTGATGACTATGTGCCTAGGTGATGGTCTTTTTGTGATAACTTTCTTGGGTGTTCTTAGAGCTTCTTGTATTTGGATGTGCAGATTTTTAGCAATGCTGGGGAAGTTTTCTTTGATTATGCCCTTAAATACGTTTTCCAAACTTTTAGATTTCCCTTCTTCCTCAGGAATATTAATTATTCTTAGGTTTGGTCATTTAACATAATCCCAAACTTCTTGGAGGCTTTGCTCATTTTTTGATTATTTTTTCTGTGTCTTTGTTGGATTGGGTTAATTCAAGTATCTTTGAGCTCTGAAGCTCTTTCTTCTGCTTGCTTGATTCAATTGCTGAGACTTTTCAGTGTATTTTGCATTTCTATAAGCATGTCCTTTATTTCCAGAAGCTGGTATTGATTTTTATTTATGCTATTTCACTGAAATCTATTTCACTGAAATTTTTTTCCTTTGCATCTTGCATCATTTAAAAAAATTTCATTAAGTTGGACTTCATCTTTCTGTGATGCCTCCTTGATTAGCTTACTAACTGACCTTCTGGATTCTTTTTTGGGCAATTCAGAGATTCCTTCTTGGTTTGGATCCATTACTGGTGAGCTAGGGTGATCTTTTGGGGGTGGTAAAGAATTTTGTTTTGTCATATTACCAGAATTGTTTTTCTTGTTCCTTCTCATTAAGGTAGACTATGTCAGAGGGAAGATCTGGGGCTCAAGGGCCACTGTTCAGGTTCTTTTGTCCCATCAGGTACTCCCTTGGTATAGTGCTCCCCAATCCTTCCCTAGGGATGGGGTTTTATGAGAGCCAAACTGTAGTGATTATTATTCCTCTTCTGGATCTAGCCACCCAGCAGAGTTACCTGGCTCCAGGCCTAGGGGGTGTCTACACAGAGTCCTGTGATGTGAACCATCTTCTGGTTTCTTAGCCATGGATACCAGCACTTGCTCTGGTGGAGGTGGCAGGGGAGTGAAATGGACTCTGTGAGCGTTCTTAGTTGTAGTTTTGTTTGTTGCACTAGTTTTGTGCTGTTTGGCTTCCTGCGCAGAGGTGGAGGATC